TATTGATGTATATATATACCAGAAGATGTTGAGGCGTACGTACACCAGAAGAAGCGGAGGTATATATACATATATATATATATATATATATATATTACATATATATACATATATATCAGGTGTATGTACACCGGCTGTCGTCTTCGTTGCTTCAATCGCTGGGTTGTAGCAGCCCAGCGTATTACTAGCAAACGGAGAACAGAAAGAGGGAGACGAACAAACAAACGAACAAATTTTTTATTATTAAGGGGACTGCACACGATCCCTGGGAGCAGACAGAGACGATCCCAGGGAGGAGACGATCCCAGTGGGGAGACGATCCCAGGGAGGAGACGATCCCAGGGAGGAGACGATGTCCCAGCTAATTCTACTTCATCCACTGTTCATTTGCCAAGCAGAAGACCTCTACGAGCCTTGCCTAGCTGTCGCTAGCCGTGGCTAGCGGTAACTAGCTATGGCTAGTTATAGCTAGCTATAGCTAGCTATGGCTAGCTAGGGCTAGCTGAGGCTTGCTATGGCTAGCTATGGCTAGCTATTGCCAGCTGTGGCTAACTGCAACTAGCTGCTACTAGCTATGGCTAGCTGTAGGTAGAAGCGGCTAGCTATGGCTAGCTATGGCTAGCTGAGGCTGCCCCATGCTTAGATTTGTCCGGTATAACAAAATGTTAGAGGACTTATTTGTTTTGTTTTTGTTTGTTCCCCTCGCTGTTGCTTCATTTTGTTTAATTTTTTTTGTTTTTGCTGTTATCTGTCTCCTTTTGGTGTTTGCAGTCGTCTCCCTCTGTCTCTTTTTTATGTGTTGTTGGTTCTGTCTCCTTTTGTCTGTCTCTGTCTCCTCTCTGTCTCTGTTTCTGTCTCTGTCTTTGTTTTTGTTTTTGTCTCTGTCTCCTTTCTGTCTCTGTCTCTGTCTCTGTCTCCTTTCTGTCTCTGTCTCTGTTTCTGCATATGCTAGCGTTAGCAATTCATTGTCCTCTTTAGCCCTCAGTTGAGGTGTACGTACACCTCAGCACCCTCTCCCTCCCCTTTTGCTGCAGCAGCAAACAGCAGCAAACTCTGTCTCTAAGGTAAAGCGACCCCTCCAGCAGGCATCAGGGCCCCTGCGTTTGCTGCTGCTGCTGCTGCTGCTGCTGCAGCAAGACTTTTATTTCGTGCAGCTTCTGCTGCTGCTGCTATTGCCACGGCTCTTCTGCTGCTGGACTGGATCTGCTGCTGCTGCTGCTGCTGCAGCAGTAGCAGCAGCACCAATTCTTCTGTTGCAGTTTGTAATGCCTCTCTGTTTGCTAAGGCATCGAGGAGAGGGCCGCTCGTCAATAAATCATCTACAGAAGGCCGCAGCTCAGGCTCCTGCACCCACATAACCCTAAACCCTAAACCCTAAACCCTAAACCCTAGCTCTATACCCTATCGAAACACCCTAGCTACAGACGGTTGCAGCTTCAAAACCCTAAACCTTAAACCCTTAATATTAGACCCTAAACCCTAAACCCTAAACCCTTATCCTCAGGAGATGGAGAACGTACCCTCTGCGTAAGCGCTTCAATGAGCAGCTTTAGATTGGCGGCCCTGTTGCGCACACAGCAGCAGCAGCAGCAGCAGCAGCAGCAAAAAAGCATCAGCAGCAGCAGAACGACCTTTGTCTGCCTCAACACTCCCCACAATCCACACAAAACCCCGACCCCAGAGGGCCTCCAGATAAATCAGGGGGCCCCCAGGGCCCCCTTTAGGGGCCCCTCCAGTATCCTCTTTAGGGGCCCCTCCAGTACCCTCTTTAGGGGCCTCCAAGGGCCCCGTAGGGGGGCCCCCACGGGCCCCGTCTAGGGGCCCCTCAGGTTCCTTATAGGGGCCCCTCCTGTACCCCATTTAGGGGCCCCTAAGGGCCTCGTCTAGGGGCCCCCAGGGCCCCGTTTAGGGGGCCCTAGGGGCCCCTAAAGGGGTAATAAGGCCCCCTTTTAGGGGGCCCCCAGGGCCCCGTTTAAGGGGCCCCCTGCTGCTGCTGAGGGGCCCCTGAGGTTGGTATTGAGGGCCCCAGTGTAGAGAAAGGAGATGCAGCAGCGAGAAGCAAGAAGAGAAGAATTATATTTAAAGAAATAAAAGATTTGCTGCTACAGGTGTAGGAGACATAGCAGGTGCTGCTGTTGCTGCTGAGGCCTGTTTGAGGTGTCTATACACCCCAGAACAGCCCTTTAAATGCAGCAGGGGGCATGCACTCTGTCTCTTGCGGTGTATGTGCAGCTTGAGGGGCCCCTGTCTCTTTACCTTTTTGGGTGCTGCGGTAGATTTATCTTCGTGTGGCTTAAAATTAATTTTCTTGCTTTTTCTGGGTCTCGTCCTTCATAAGGGACGGAGCCGTAAGAAAGACAATAAACTATTATCCCTAGACTCCACATGTCCCCCTTCGGGTCGTACACGTCTCCCCCCCCCTGCAGCAGCAGCAGCAGCAGCAGCAGCAGCAGCAACAGCAGCAGCAGCAATGGCAGCAACAGCAGTATGCAGCAGCAGCAGCTGCCAACTCCCCAGGCGGAAGAAAGACGCAGCACCGGTTATTGCTGCTGCCTGAGCAGCAGCAGCAGCAGGTGCCCCACAGCACCTGCCTCCAGCAGCAGCAGCAGCGCAGCAGCAGCAGAAGCAGCAGAAGCACCAGCAGCAGCAGAAGCAGCAGCAAACGCAGCAGCAGCATCAATTGTTGCTGCAGCTGCTGCAACAGCAGGCGCTCACCTTCCCGCTGCCATCCAGCAGCTCTGGGGCAGTGAATTCTATTGTTCCTGTAAAGCCGCGAGGGGCCTGCGGCCCTGCTGCTGCTGCTGCTGCTGCTGCTGCTCCACCTACAGCAGCAGCAGCAGAGTCACGGGTGCTGCTGCCACCCCGTCTAACCATACCTGAGAGCTCAGCAGTACCGAAATCTGCTAATAAAGCCCGGAGCACAACTTTAGAATTATCTGCTGCTGCTGCTGCTGCTGCTGCCGCTGCTGCTGCTGCTGCACCTGCTGCAGCTGGCTGTGCAGAAGGTGTTGCATCAGCAGCACCAGCTGCCGCTGCAGCACCTGCGGGGGTAGAGGGAACGGATCCGGCGGGGGGAGAGGATGCTGTTGTTGCTGCTGCTCCAGCAGCAGCAGCTGCAGCAGCAGCAGCAGCAGTTCGGCTAGCAGCATCAGCAGCAGAAGAAGCAGGAGCAGCAGCAGCAGAACGCCTGCAATCTAATAAAACATTCCCTGGCTTCATATCTCGATAAACAATCCCCGTGTGATGTAAGTGCTGCAGCCCAAAGAGAATATCTAGCAGCAAACGCCATATGTGGCTGCTGCTCAAGCAGCAGTTTGCTGCTGCTGCTGCTGCTGCTGCAGCACGCCCGGGTGAACAAGATGCAAGAGGAGACGAAGGACACGCCTCTGCTGCTGCTGCTCCTGCTGCTGCTGCTGCTGCTGCTGCCGCAACAACGTACGGAGGCGGTGAGGGGCTTGCTGCTGCAGCAGCAGCTGCAGCAGCAGCAGCAGCTGCTGCTGCTGCTGCTCCCTCCACCTGCGCTCCTGCTGCTGCATTTATTGCAGCAACTTCCTCCGCAAAGGCAACAGCAGCGCGTCCGCTATACATGAAATCAATAAGAGACTCCAGATCACCTGAAGCAGCAGCAGCAGCAGCAACAGCAGCAGTAGCAGCAACAGCAGCCGCAGCAGCAACAGCAGCAGTAGCAGCAACAGCAGCAGCAGCAAAAGCCGCAGCAGTAACCATCAGAGGCTCAGCACAACAGCCAAAGCCGATATCCCCCACACCAGCAGCCTCAGCAACAGCATCAACAGCAGCGGCAGCAGCAGCAACAGCAGCAGCAGCAGCAGCAGCAGCAGCAACAGCAGCAGCAGCAGCACCTGCGTTGCAGTACTCCATTAGAATAAAGAGCCAAGGGACTGTTGGGCTGAGATCGTTTGGGCGATGCATCTGCAAATAAGTAAAAAGAAAAGGAGACAAATAAATAAAAAATAAAATAATAAATAAATAATTAAATAAATAATTAATTAAATAAATAATAAAAAATAAATAAAAAGAAAAGGAGACAAATAAATTAAAAATAAAATAAATTAATAAATAAATAAAAAGAGACAAATAAATTAAAATAAAATAATAAATAAATAAATAAAAAACTAATAGACAGAAAATAGAGACAGACAGGAAGAGAGAGAGAGAGGCAAGCAAATAGACAAATACAAAGTAGAGATAAACAAATAAATAAATAAATAAATAAATAAATAATAAGAAAAGGAGACAAACAAATAAATAAACAAATATAAAAACAAATAAAATAAATAGAGAAGCAGAGAAGGAGACAAATAAATAAATAAAAAGGCAAGAGAGAGAGACAGACAGACAAAAGAACAAACAAATAAAGAATGAGAGAAGGAGACAGACAAACAAACAAATAACAAATAAACAAACAAACAAAACAGCAAAAGAGACAGGAGGAGATAGAAGAAGGAGACAAAAGGAGACAGCAAAAGAGACAAAAGGAGACAACAAAAGAGACAGGAGGAGACAGAAGAAGGAGACAAAAGGAGACAACAAAAGAGACAGAAGGAGACAGAATTAGGAGACAAAAAGAGACAGCAAAAGAGACAAAAGGAGACAACAAAAGAGACAGGAGGAGACAGAAGAAGGAGACAAAAGGAGACAACAAAAGAGACAGAAGGAGACAGAAGAAGGAGACAAAAGGAGACAGGAGGAGGAGACAAAAGGAGACAGCAAAAGAGACAAAAGGAGACAGAAGAAGGAGACAAAAGGAGACAACAAAAGAGACAGAAGGAGACAGAAGGAGGAGACAAAAGGAGACAGCAAAAGAGTTTACCTCAAGCCAAGAGTGCTTATAATCAACTATGTGCGGATGGCTGAGCCTCTCTCTTATCTTCACTTCCCTCAATGCCTAGCAGCAAACACTCCCCACACTGCAGCAGCAATAGCAGCAGCAGCAGCTACAGCAGCAGCAGCTACAGCAGCAGCAGCAATAGCAGCAGCAGAAACAGCAGCAGCAGAAACAGCAGCATCATTAGCAGCATCAGCAGCAGCATCATCAGCAACAGCAGCATCTGCAGCAGCAACAGCAACAGCATCAGCAGCAGCAGCAGCAGCAGGAGCATCAGCAGCAGCAGGGTATAGACAGCGAATAGATTACCTTCTGCAGCCAGCACCTATCATCTCCGACCGGCAGCTTCTTAACAGCAAACTCTCCTAAGTGTAGATTATCTAGCAAGTGTTCGCAGAGACAGACAGAGCCAAACGACCCTCTTCCTATCTGTCTCCTTTCTATAAAAAACCTGCTGTAGTAGCCGGTAACGAGAAACTCACGAGGGATTGGCTGCAGCAGCAAACATATACATCTGCTTATTTATTTATTTATTTATTTGTTTATTTAGCTTGTTTATTTAGTTGTTTATTTAGTTTGTTTGTTTGTTTGTTTAGTTATTTAGCTGTTTATTTACTTATTTGTTTGTTTTGTTTGTTTGTTTTGCTGTTTATTTATTTATTTGTTTGTTTTGTTTGTTTGTTTAGCTGTTTATTTATTTATCTGTTTATCTAGCAAGACAGAGACAAACAAAACAAACAAATTAAACAAATTAAACAAATGTAAAAGTGTTAAAGCGAATAAATAGCACCAGCAGCAACAGCGCAGCAGCAGCAACAGCGCAGCAGCAGCAAGAGAGAAGCAACAACAAAAGGGCAGCTGGAGCAGCAGCAGAAGCAGCAGCAAACGCACCTCATATTCTGTTGTTTCTTCTACCTGCAGTCTTCTTTGTCTGTGTCTCAAGTAAGGGTTAAGGGGGGCGGGAGACAACCCTGAATCTGATAGCGCTTGCTGCTGCTGCTGTTGCTGCTGCTGCTGCTGCTGCCACCTCTGGCGTTGTCCCTGTGCATGCTGCTGCTGCTGCCAAGTGTCTCCTTCTAAGGCAGCAGCAGCAGCAGCAGCAGCAAAGTCATCTTCTGCATCAGGGCAGACAAAGGCACCTGTGTGGGGGTCCCTATACACCCCATGTTCTCCTGGTGTTGGGTGCTGCTGCTGCTGCTGCTGCTGCTGCTGCTGCTTCAGCCTAGCAAAGAGCTCCTGCAGCATATGAAAGTATGTCTGCGCTTCAAATGTAAATGAAGAAGGATCCACCAGCTGCCCGCACAGGGCACAACGCGTTATCCGGCTGCAGCAGCAACAGCAGCAGCAGCAGCAGCAGCAGCAGCAAGAGCAGCAGCATCAGCGAATATAGCCCCTCCAGAAGCAACATTCCAGACAGGCAGCAGCAGCAACAAGCAGCAACAGCAACACGGGCAGCCTCAACCAGCAGCACAAGCAGCAGCACATGCAGCAGCAGCAGCAAAAGCACAAGCACCACCAGGAACAGTAGCGGCCGCAGCAGCAGCAGCAGCAGCACCAGCCACATATTTAGCAGCAGCAGGAAGAGCAGCACATATGCCGCTGCAGCAGGAACATAAGCGCTAGCCGCAGCAGCAGCAGCGGCAACAGCAACAGCAGCAGTAGCAACCACAGCAGCAGCAGCTGCAACATCAACAGCAACAGCAGCAACAGCACCACCACCAGCAGCAGTAGCACCACCACCCCAGCAGCAGCAGCAACAGCAACACCAGCAGCAGCAACAGCAGCAGCAGCAGCAGCAGCAGCAAACGATTACTGAGCAAGAAGAGCGAGCTGCTCTTCAGGAAGAAGAGTTTTGATGGCTGCCCTCTGATGCTGTCTTGAATAAACAACAAGGGTGCGCTGTCTGTACAGCACAACTTCACAGCCGCTGCCGCTGCAGCTGTCTGTGTTGTGAGTTCTAGAGAGACGCAGCAAGGGGTCCTCCTGCGAGCCTCCTGCTGCTCCTGCTGCTGCTGCTGCTGCTGCTGCTGATGTTGTTGTTGATGGGCTGGGCGATGCACACGTCTGCTGCTGCTCTTGTGAACAGGCGGGTACCAGTGCACAAGAAGAGCAAGGAGAGACAGAAGAAGGAAGCAGCTGCAGCAGCTGCAACTCATGCGAACGTGATGAACCCAAACTCTGCTGCTGCTGCTGCTGCTGCTGCTGCTGCAGCGGCAACTGCAACTGCTCGTCCGTTAGAGCGAAAGGCAAATCAAACAGCGGCAGAGACACCCTAGAAGAGCTGTTTCTGCTGCTGTTGTTGTTGCTGCTGCTGCTGCTGAAGAAGCTACCATGGTCCCGGACTCCCCCCATGGTGCTGCTGTTGCTGCTGCTGTTGCTGCTGCTGTTGCTGTTGCTGCTGCGGCTGTTCCTCCTCATTCTTCTGCCTGCGTCGCTCATTGACTGTTCCTTCTCTGTTGGGTGCTTCTTCATTCAATCGTCTTCGAACTGCTGCTGCTACTGCTCCTGCTGCTGCCCCTCTTGCTGCTGCTGCTGCTGGTGCACGTGCCGCTGGTGCTGCTGGTGCACGTGCTGCTGCAGCGGCAGCAACAGCTGCATATGGCCACTAGAGAAGCTCCTGCAGTAGCGTCTCTGTGGTGTTTGATTCTCCTGCTGCTGCTGCTTCTGCTGCTGCTGCTGCTGCTGCTGGGTTTATAATGATGCTCGTGGTGCAGCTGTTAAGTTGCTGCGGCATCAGCAGCAGCATCTCTGCAGCAGCTGCAGCAGAGGTGTTTGAAGAGTAAAAGAAGAAGTTTATTGGATTTGTTTGAATAAAACAAAGTCAAGTAACGGTATTTAAAAAGAGAGAAGCAAACAGACAAACACAAACTCAAAATAAAGCTGCACGTCTGTCTTCAGGGAGCCCCTCAACTCTCAGATTAATCTGTTTGTTTGCTGTTTATATTTACTGTTTAATTACTTTTTATTCACTAAAATAACTCAAATAAATACAAACAAACAGCAAAAAACATTGAATTAAATGTGCAGCTGCTCCGGGGGCTGGCTGGAGCTGCATGTACACCGCAGCTGTGCATACGCTGCAACTTTCTGTATACGTTTCTGAATAAATAAATTTATATAAAAATATCATTTTAATTAAAAACAAAAACAAAATAGTAATGTTTTAAACGCTTGTTGTTTGAGGGTGCTCTAAGTGGGCCTCTCCTTTGCGCTTATTTATCTGCATTTCTTCATCTTTGCTGCGGTTGTCTTTTCTTCGTTACTTTTCTTGCTGCTGTCTTCTAGGGTCTTCTCACCTCTTTAGAGAAGCCTTTCTAGGCGGAGGCCTGTTTGGCCAGCTAGCTACGAATGCCGGGCTAGCTAGCTAGCTAGCTAGTTAGCTAGCTAGCTAGGGATCTACTAGCAACCCAGATAGCTAGCTAGCTGTGGTTCAACTAGTTATCTAGCTAGCTATCTACCCAACTGGCTGCCAGCAAGCAGGGCCCTATCTAGCTAGCTAGCTAGCTAGTTAGCTTGCTAGCTAGCTAGCTAGTTAGCTTGCTAGCTAGCTCGATAGGGTCCAGGTAGTTGTCTAGATAGCTAGCTAGTTAGCTAGCTAGCTAGCTAGGGCTTGAAATAACGCAGGGGAAGCTGCAGCTATTTTCAGTGCTGCTATGTTTAGGAACAATACCACACACCCAGCTCAATCTGATTATATATAATATAAATATATGTATATATATATATATATATTTAAAGATATATATATATGTAATACATATAATGTACAAACATATATATATATATATATATATAAACCTATCTATCTTGCAGGCTAGCTGCGTCTGGGGGGCGGCTAGAGATATAATCTGCTGTAGGTTTTATCTCTTTGTTTGTCTACACTCACTCTGTATGAATTAAAAGACATAAAGGAGAACAATAAAAAAAAAGAGGTGTTACACACAATGCACACTCTGTACGTTTCGGTCGCTTCTGCTCACTGCATATATATATATATAATAAACATATATATATATATATATAATATGCATTATATATATAATATATGTAGGTAAAGGTATATGTAGATATATATATGCATTGATATTATAAATAAATATATATATGTATATATATATATATACACTGTACTTACTACATTTGCTCCTAGCTATATACACTTATATACACACATGCATATATATATATACATATATATGTGTATATATATACATATATATATATATATACATATATATGTATATATATAGATATATATATATATGTATATTATATATATATGCATTATATATATATATATATATATATATATTGTTCATACTAGAATATTACTCTAGAATATATATTATGCACTATATATATAATTTTATATGATAAATAATAAAAAGTATATTATTATTATATTATATTATATACTGCGTATATTATATTTTATAGATATTATTAAAGAAAGTGCTTTGAGTGCTGCCGCACGACTCCCTGTCTAAACAAAAGAAAAAAAAAGACAAGGTGTCTTCACGTCTGCTGCTGCTGCTGCTGCTGCTGCTGCACATCTGCTGCTGCAGCAGCTGCTGCTGCTGTACATCTGCAGCAGAGTTGTAGTTTACTACGGCGCAGCATGAGTACTGTGTGCTGCTAAGTGTCTCCCTTTCTGTCTCTTTACAGCCTGCTGCTGTTTTGCTGTTTTTGTGGTGTACGTACACCCGAAGCTGCCCCTCTTTAGCTTCTTTTAGCTTCCTAAAAGGAGACAGTTTTCTAGTGTCTCCTTTTTATTGTCTCTTTCTTCTGAAGGAGACACCTTAGGGTGTCTCCACTTAGAAAGAGACAATAAAAAGCGTCTCCTTCAACAGTAAGAGACACATTAAGCTGTCTCCTTTTAGCAAGCAGCCCCACGAGAATTAAATGCAAGAGGTGATGCTCCTTCCTGAGCAGCAAGCTGAGGGGCCCACAGCGCGCCGCCAGCCTGCAGCGGCCTTGGCTGCTGCTGCTGCTGCAGTTGCTGCTGCTGCTGCTGCTGCTGCTGCAGTTGCTGCTGCTTCTGCTGCTGCTGCACAGAAGCAACCCAGGGGGCTGCTGTCCCGTAGCACGCTGGCCTGTTATAAAGATGTCTCCCTTGTGGGGTGAGAGCTGTAAGGGGCAGCCCTGCAACAGGAGTGAGTGGAGACATATTCTCTGCTGCTGCTGCTGCTGCTGCTGCTGCTGGTCCTGCTGCTGCTGCTGCTGCTGGTCCCACTCCTGATGCTGATGCTGCTGCACGCTGCCGCTGAGACTGCGAAAGGTACTGCTGCTGCAGCTGCTGCTGGTGGGTCCTTAAAGACAGCAGCAGCTGCTGCTCGTCTATTGCTGCAGGAGGCTCACAGAGTGGCTGCTGTCGCTGCAGCATCAGCAGCAGCTCCTCCTGCTGCGCCCCAGACAGCGCTGCTGCTGCACCAGCCTCTTCTCCAGCAGCAGGCACTGCTTCTGCCCCTGTAGGTGCTGCTGCTGCAGCAGCTGCTGCTGCAGGGGACCGTAGCAGCTCAGACTGACTGCCGCAATCTGTCTCCTTTCTAAGGCTGCTGACAGGCGCCCCACACACCACAGGGCATTCACTGTTGCTGCTGTTGTTGCTGCTGCTGCTGCAGTTGCCGCTTGGGCTGAAGGAAGAGCTTTCCTCTTCGTCGTTCGTGCTGCTGCTGGCTGCTGCTGCTGCTGCAGCAGCTGCTGCTCCCTCTGAACCCCATGGGCGTTCGGATAGGAAAGCAGTCTCTTGCTGCTTCTCCGCCGCTGCTGCTGCTGCTGCTGCTGCTGCTGCAGGTGTTACTGCAGCAGGTGTTACTGCAGCAGGTGTTGCTACAGCAGGCGTTGCTACAGCAGGCGTTGCTGCTGCTGCTATGGCGGGTGAAAGTGCAGCAATTCCCGTTGGTGTTGTTGCTGCTGCTGCTGCAGCAGCAACAAACTCTGGAGGGACATCTGCTGCGCTCTGTCTGAGGCCCCCAGGCACCATGTGCTGCCACAAGCCTTTGTCCATTGTATTCCCCTTTGCTGCTGCTGCTGCTGCTGCTGCAGCAGCTGCAGCATGGGCTGCTGCAGCAGGGTTGTTGGGGCGCTGCTGCTTGGGAGTGCTGAGGGGCACCTGGCGGCTGTCTCCTGCAGCAGCAGCAGCAGCAGCAGCAAGGTCTCGAGGCTCTTGAAGGAGACAGACAATAATAGAGACATTGTCTCCACTCATTCGAAGAGAGACAGCCTCATGAACAAGGGCTCTTGCTGCTGCTTCTGCTGCTTCGCTTGCTGCAGCAGCAGGATATGCTGCAGCAACAGCCTGCACGACTCCCAAAGCGAAAGCAGCAGCAGCATTATCATCCATAACATCGAAGAGACCATCACACCCCAGCAGCAGCAGCGCGGGTTCCCGCTGCTGCTGCTGCGACACAACCCTTCTCCTGCCACTGCCACTGCTGCTGCTGCTGCTGTTGCTGCAGCTGCTGCTGCCGTTACTGGTTGCTGCGGCTGATGCAGTTGCTGCTGCTTCTCTGTATGGTCCCCGTGGCGAGAGAAGACGTGTTTGTTTGTGTTGCTGCTGGTGCAGATCTTGCTGCATCTGGTGCTGCGGCTGCTGCTGCTGCTGCAGCACGAATGTCTCCGTTTGTACATCTGGTTTGTTACAGACAACTAGCTGTCTGTCTCTGTCTCTCTGCAGCAGCGCAGGAGATGCATGCGGCCCTAGCTTCAGCCCCCAATCACCGAAAGCCCTCCCTATAGCGAGCACACCGTTAACTCTCTCTCCGATAACAAACCCGCCTAATGCTTCTACTCTTTCTGTCTCTGCTGCTGCTGATGCCTTATGGTCTGAAGCAGCAGTCATTCGCTTGCAGCTACCATCAGCAAACACCAGCAGCAAACGAGTGTCTCCTAAATGCGCTGCATGCAGCAACACAGATAAACCCCAACCGTTGTTGTTGTTGCTGCTGCTGCTGCTGCTGTCCCTGCTGCTGTCACTGCTGCTGCTGCTGTTACCTGTGATGCTGCTGCTGCTGTCGCTTATGCTCCCATTAGTGCTGCTGCTGCTGCTGCTGCTGTTGCCGTTTGTGTGTTGAGGTGTCTCCTTCTGAGTGGAGGGAGCCAAGGAGACAGGTGAAGGGACAGTAAGAGAGGGATGAATTAAACAGACACAAGCAGTGCTGCCGCTCTCTCTGATTCCTAAGCGCAGCAGCTTCTCATCAGCAGATTTAAATGCAGCAGCAAATGCAGCTTCAATATCTGCCGCAGTACAAAATGCTAGAGGAGCAGGAAGAGCCGACCCCACAGGCAAACTTAAAGCATTCATTAAGCTCTCCCAGTCTAAAGACCCGTCTATCTCCTCCTGCTGCTGCTGCTGTCCCTGCTGCTGCTGCTGTCCCTGCTGCTGTCCCTGCTGCTGTCCCTGCTGCTGCTGCTGTTGCTGCTGTTGCTGTTTGTGTTTGTTGTGTATAAGCTGATCTCTTTTTCTGAAAGCTCTGCTATTGATCTCTACCCAAAGGGTTTTATGAAGGAGTTGAAGCAAAACATCAACAGTCTGTCGCCCCCCGTGACCGTCAAAGAGACAAAATAGCCAGGCACCTTTTTGCTGTCCGAAGCCTCTAATAACAACGAGACCGTCCTCCATCTTAAATCGTCTCCCTTGTTCTTCAGCCCACCCCACACCCTTTACAAAGTCTATAGCCCATCCTGCTCCTTCTAATGCTGCTGCTCCCGATCCTCCTCCTCCTCCTCCTGCTGCTGCTGCTGCTGCTGATGCTGCTGCTGCTGCTGCTGATGATGATGATGATGATGATGATGATGATGAAGAGACTGTATTTTTCGCGTCTCCTGCAGCTGAAGCTGCAGGGAGAGCAGACAGATAACCCATGTGTAAGAAAGAAGAAAGTAAATATAAATAAAGATTAAGATTAAGATTAAGATTAAGATTAAGATTAAGATTAAGATTAAGATAAAGATTAAGTTAAAGAATGTTCAAAAAGAATTGTTCTGAAGAAGATACACCTGGATAAATTAACAAAGAAAAGAAAAAATGATGAAAGAGAGGAGACAGCAAAGAGACAGACATTGAACAAACCAGTAAGTGCACACAACTACAAATAAATAAATAAACAAATAAACAAATAAATAAATAAACAAATAAACAAATAAATATATAAATATATATATAAGCACAAAGGAGAAAAGAGACAAAGAGAGAGAGAGGAGGAGGTTAGAGACACTCAGAGAGAGACGGAGACAAAGAGAGACAGAGATAATGCAGAGACACACACACACGCACACACAAACAACGCTGACAGCAACAACAGCAATGAAATGCTGCTGCTGCTGCTGCTGCTGCTGTTGCTGCTGCTGCTGTTGTTGCTGTTGCTGCTGCTGCTGCTGCTGCTGCGATGCTTGTCAGACAAGGCCGAGATTGAAGGGTCTCTGAAGAGACAAAGAATAAAGAAGAATCACACTGCTGCTGCTACTCAGAGACCAGAGAGCAAGCGCCTCTATGTGCAGAGGGCAGCAGCAAACACACTTCTCCGCAGTATTTAGAAAGAAGCAAAGCAAACCCAGGACAATACGTCTTAATTGATAGACAAAAAATACATATTTGCTGCCAAGAAAGGGGGAACATGCAGCAGCAGCTGCTGCTGCAGCAGCAGCAACAGCAACAGCAGCAGCAGCGGCTGGCCCGTCGGCTGCTGGGCTCCCGGGCTGCAGCAGCAGCAGCAGCAGCAAAAGGAGTGTCTTTGTTTCTTTTTTTATGTAGAAGATGTTTATTGTAGTGGTTTTTAAAAGAAAAAACTTATATCTAATCTATTTCTTATACAATAAAGTTGCGAGACTGCTGCTGCTGCTCTCAGCTGTACGTACACCGGGCCGGGCCAGCCCACTGCTCCCGCCTCAGCGTTTGATTGCTGCGGGGCTTCTTTTTTATTTAGTAGAAAAGAATTAAAATATAAGCTTAAAAGGCTTTAAAAGCAATAAAAGGAAGAGACCTGAGGTGTATGTACACCATAATACTTCATCTTACAAACGCACCTCTGCGCAGCTGGAAGGAGACAGTTAATTACTAGCCCTCGCCTTATGTTGCAGACAGTCTCTAGCTGCATATACACCTGAAATAAGAGTAATTATAAAGCAATATATAACTCCGCTTGCAGTATACAGATAAAATTAATGTATATATCTTTATATAGACGTGCTGGCTGTCTATAAAAGGATAATAGTAAAGAAGGGCTTACTCCTTGTCTGTGGTGCTGCTGCATTCATAGAAAAGCGGCTCAAAACCTGAAGTTGCATGCATGCAAAGACATCCTGCACCAGATAGTGCTGCAGCAGAGAGTGCTGCAGCAGAGAGTGCCGCAGCGGAGAGTGCTGCAGCAGAGAGTGCTGCAGCAGAGTGTGCTGCAGCAGAGAGTGCTGCAGCAGAGTGTGCTGTAGCAGATAGTGCTGCAGCAGATAGTGTTGTAGCAGACAGTGCTGCAGCAGAGAGAGCTGCAGCAGATAATGCTGCAGCAGATAATGCTGCAGCAGTTGGCTGGCAGCCCTTTAACCGCACAAAGACAGACGAAGACACTGAGCCTATCTGCCGCAGTCTCCTGAACCCGAGGAGGCTGCAGGAAACATAAAATTCTTTAAGCAAACTCTTTCTTGAGGGGAGCAGCGCGCTGCAGTGCATGCATTTAACCCCTAGATATAAGCCCTCGAAGCATTTGAAAGGATTGATAGTGCAGTTTATCAATCTCTTCTTCTGCTATCACCAACGACCTTCATTTTTCTTATTTAATAAAAAATAAGCATTAAGAGGGGAGGGCGGTGCATGCGCATCCGGCCCCACAACTGAGTGTATAAGTAGCAAAGGCACTTCTCCTTTAAAAAGAAAGAATATATTTTTGAAGTATTCTTTTTCAAGTTTCTTCACTGCTGCATCTGTCTCTTCTCTTGACTCCTGGAGATTGTTCAAGAGCTGCCCTCCACCAAGGCGGAGACAAAGGGCTGCGAGTCCCTTCTCGTTCATACCCGAGCAGTACCTTAGAGACACTGAAGTTTTTAGTGCGAAAAGAATCCATAGCAGCAGCCTTTGAAGGCGTCATTATAATATGAAGGGAGAAGAGAAGCAGCGGGAAGAGAAGAAGAAGTATTAAGATGAAGGTACACAGAGAGGCTAGGACATTTTCTTCAAGTCTTTGCCTCTGTGTGTACTTTCATCTTCAGAATACATCCAAATAAGATGTTAAAAACGGAGCCGCCACACGGGTGGTTATATTCAGAGAAGACTTTAGCACTTCTTAGGAGACAGTTCGCAGTAAAGAGTCTCTACGAGATGAGCTGAGCTGTAGCTTTATCCTCAAAAGAAAAGAGAGAAACGAAGTCGTAGAATTAGAGACACTTAAGCAAAGGACACCACTGAACAGGCGTTGCATAGAGGAGTATGAGTATGATGAAGCCTTAGAAAACAAATGTCTGTCGGTGGAGAGGAAACTATATGAATGATAAATAAATAAATTAATTAATTAATAAACAAATAAATTAATTAATTAATATATTAATGATTCATATTAGGGTTGTTTACTTGAAAGAAACAAAACCTAAAATAGCAACGCTGCTGCAAAAATATGTTGAATATGTTCTCTTCGCTTAAACAGTTTGTGCAAAAAGAATTATCATTTTCAAGCGGGCCACGGTGAAGTCAACAAAAAATAAGAAGGGGAGCCCTAAAGGCCTTTAGAGGCATTAGACAAACCGGTAAACGGAAGCATGTCTCTGCACTTCTTCTGAACTCGCCAGCGCACAAGAATAGCAATACCCGCTAATCAGAAATGTTGCTTCTCGTTTCTAAACTTAGCTAGAGGCAAACTCTATCGCTTCTTCTTTTATATATCCATTAATCAGAGGGTATAATAGCAAGAAAATGCTGCTAGATTTTCTTGCTATTATACCCTCTGACTAATGGATGAGTGTATGTATATTCACTGTCTATACACAGCAATTCAAATTGTCTTGCAAAGATATAATCAGCAAACTCAGCCCCTTTCTCCCCTACTTGTGCTCAGCCACAGAAGAGGAAGCTGCTCAATTATTCGTTAATCTTCTTCAAGAGCTTTATGGTTGTCACAACAATATCCTTTCTGAAAGGGATGTGAAGTTTTCTTTAGCGCCTTCTGGCACGAATTGTATATTATATTATATATATATATCTTATATATATTATATTATATATATGTATATATATATATGTATATATATATATATATACATATATGTAAGGATAAGACTACTGCCACAAACCAGCCGGAGGTTGACTTTCAAGCTGAGTGCATTTGATGAAGAGTTTGAAGGGTAGATGCAGCATCTTCTGTTTGATGCTTGCGTTTATACTTCTCCTTCCATGCAGGGGGCGGCTTCAACTAAAGCCTAAAAACTCTATAATAACGCTGATAGAGGCAGCAATGAAAAAGTGCTGAGCACAATAGGCTTGCATGCGAGGTTGCTCTGCAGCATGTTTCTCTGTTGAATCTATAATAGAAGTCTTCTGCTGTTTGAAAATTTTAATATAAATAACTTTAACTCCAATTCAGCGGGGCGCTCTCTCCTGATGAATGTCTTTAGGGATTGAGGCTATTACCTCTTTGAGTTTGATATAACCGGCAATAAAAGAACAAATCTTCTGCAATTAATGTGCATGCTTCAGCAGGGGGATGGTTTGGCTGCTCCTTTTGCTTCAACTTTCCGGGATATGTTTGGCGAAGGATCTGTTCAATTAAAATCTTTCGGTAGTAATGCTGTTATCTCCTGTACTGCTTTACTCCTTTATTGAATACTCTTCTTGAAGGCCTCTTGATACGAGAGGTATCTACTACTATTAGCAGCAGCAGCTGCTGCAGTCTCTGCTGCTGCACCAATATCTCCACATGTCCTATCCAGCTGAGATGCGCAGCAGCAGCGCGCAGAAGAATCAGCAGAAGCAGCCTCACCAGCAGCAAGGGCTGCAGCAACAAGGTCAGCAGCAGCAGCAGCGCAGCTGCAGCAACGTCTACGGAGTCAACGCCGCCTTTTCTACTTGCTGCTGCTGCTGCTGCTGCTCATGCTGTGCTGCTGCTTGCACCAACACTCTGCTATCTTATAGCATGGCCGTGGTGAGCAGCAACCGAAGAAAAGAGTGAAGACAGAGACACTTCAACAGCAGCAAATTGTCTCCTTTCATTTTGAGTTGGGGCTGACGGAGTGGAGACAGTCTGAGAAGACATGCGACGCACCTCCCTGCAGCATTTGCTGCACTTCCAGAGTGCAGCACAACCAACCTTGCTGCTGCTGGCTGTATAAGATATGGAGACAACTGCTGCTGCTGCTGCTGCTGCTGTTGCTGATGCTGTTGCGCCTCTGCTTGCCTCCAGGATGAGTTCTATGGACAAGTTAGTGTTCATGTACTTACTTCGGATAATGCTGCACTCGTGCCGCTGTTGTTGCTGCTGCTGCTGCTGCTGCATGGGAGGCGTCGATGAATATGCTTTCTTTGCTTTCAGCAGCTAAAATAACTTCTCACGCTCATTTTGCTGCTGGCGTGTAACGGTGCGCTTAACGTGGGCAGTGTGTGAGGCGCAGCAGCAGCTACTGTAGCTACACCTAGAGCAGCAGCAGCACCCGCTGCTGCACGAGCAGCAGCAGCAACATCAGCAGCAGCAGAAGCAGCAGCAGTTGGGTGATTAAGAGACTCACACATGACGTACACACAACCTAGAAACAATTTCATCAAGCACCTCAAACATTAAAGGGAAAGTAGCTGCACTGGGCGACGGCCGACTCCGTGTTGCTGCTGCTGCTGCTGCTGCTGCTGCTGCTGCTGCTCCCGCTGCCGCTCCCGCAGCTGCTGCAGTCTTGCCGGCTGCTACGGCTGCTGCAGCAGAAGATGATAAAAGTAGTACCTCCTTTCTTAACCTTTGTGTGTTTTCTGTCTCCTCCGGAGATAGGGCTGCAGGTACAGCAGGAAGATCGAGTCTGCTGCTGCAGCAGCAGCAGCAGCAGCAGCAGACTAGGACACCTAGCAGCAGCAGCGCAGCAGCAGCGGCAGCTGGGATTTTGCTCTGCTTTGGCGGACTCCGGTGCTTTGCAGATTTTGTGGTAACAGAGACGTTGAAGACTCGTCCTATGGGTCGAGCAGCTGCTGCTGCAGCAGCAGCAGCAGCAGCAGGAGCAGCGGCAACAGGTGGCGCAGCGGCTTGGGGTGGCAGCCGCAGCAGCAGCAGCAGCCTTTTTTACCCTGGGAAAATGAGGCTTTTGGGGTTATAGAAGGCGGGAGGAAGCAGCAGAGGCTGGAGGAGCAGCAGCAGTACAGGCAGCAGCAGGAGCAGCATATGCTGCAGCAACCGTTGGTGCAGCAGCATCAGCATCAGCAGCAGCAGCAGCAGCAGCAGCGGCGAAGATGAAGTTCGGCAAGAACATTCGCAAGGAGGCGTGGCTCTGCCAGCGGCTGCACTTTCTTGACTATAAAAAACTCAAGAAGAGGGTTAAAGCTGCTGCTGCGCTGCTCAAGGAGCGCAACTATAGAGAATGTGTCTCCTGTCTCCGTTTATTTTTTGTTGATTTAGAAGAGGAGCTGGCTTTAGTACGTGGGGAGTATGCCCAGGAGCTGCAGCAGCTGCAGCAGCAGCAGCTGCTGCTGCAGCAGGAGTTCGAACGCCAGCAGGAGGATCCATATACGCAGCTGCAGCAGCAGCTGCAGCAGCTGCAGCAGCAGCAGCAACAACCAGATCACCACCAGGAGCAATATAACGACAACCTGGAAGAGGGAGGGCAGGCTGCCTTAGGGGATGCTGCAGCAGCAGAGGCAAGCGCTCGTGCTGCTGCTGCAGCACCTGCTGCTGGTATTGCAGCAGCCGTACCGCCAACTGCAGCAGAAACAGCAGCAGCAGCAGCAGCAGGGTCTTGGGCGGCTGCAATACAGCAGCTACCCGAAGAGACACGCCGCAGGCTTTCTGCTTCAACTTCACTGGAGCAGGTTCTTGACGTGCTGCTGTCTGTTGGCTGCGCAGCAGCAGCAGCTGCTGCTGCTGCTGCTCCAGATGGAGAAACAGCAGCAGCAGAAGCAACTGAGGGAGAGACAGCAACAACGGAGTCTGAAGCAGAATCAACAGCAGCAGCAGGCTCCGCGGCGATGGACCCGCAGGAGACAGCCGCCTCAACTGTAGCAGCAGCAGCAGTGCCTGCTGCTGCAACGACAGCAGCAGCAGCTGCTGCTGCGACGACAGCAGCGGCTGCAAGTACAGGTGCAGCAGCAGCAGCAGCAGCCGCAGCAGCAGATATTCCAGAGGAGGAAGAGGCGTTATCCAGCGTTGCAGCAGGAGACCCAGACGGCGCAGCAGAACTCACTTCAGCCTCATCTGCAGCAGCAGCAATCTCTCCTGAAGCAGCAGCAGCAGCAGCAGCAGCAGCAGCTTCACCAGCTTTAGAGGCTCTAGTATCTTTCTGTCAGAGGCTGCAGGAGGCCCTCAAGGGCTGCCGCGAGCTGCGTAAATTCATCATATGGAATACAGTCGCAGTAGTCAAGATCACAAAAAAGAGGTTTGCTGCTGCTGCTGCTGCTGCTGCTGCTGCTGCTGATGTGGCTGCTAATGCTGCTACTGTTTCCGTTTCTGCTGCTACTGCTGCTGCTGTTGCTGCTTTCGTTGCTGCTGGTGTTGCTACTGCTGCTGCAGCAGCAGATTGATTTGTGAGGGTTATTGCTTATTTTGCTGTGTCTCAGGAAGAAGCTGCTGTGCAGCTGCGAACCAACTGCACAGCCAGCAGCAGCAGCAGCAGCTAGAGCCCTTGCAGCAAGAACAGGCGCAGCAGCAGCAGCAGTAGAGATTGGCGAGGTACTTACAGCGGAAGGCGGCAGTGGGGTCCGTGCTGCAGCTGCTGCGGTGCCTACTGCTGCTGCTGCTCCTGCTCCTGCTGCTGCTGAGACTGTTCATCCATGCCACGGCTGCTGCTTCCTTCAGGTGGCAGAAGGCTTGGCTGCTGTTGACGGAGACAGCAGCAGCAGCAGCAGCAGCAGCAGCACAAGCAGCAGCAGTAGCAGCAGTGGGAGCGGTTTTTCGCCTGCTTGCGCCGGAACTTCTTCTGTTTCCATGAGCAGCAGCAGCAGCAGCAGCAGCAGTAACTTGAACAACACCACCAACAACAACAACAACAGCAGCAGCAGCAGCAGCAATACGAATATAATGACAGCTTGTTTTTCATCTGCTGCTTCTGTTTTGCGTCGTGAGAGCTGGCATTCGTCTTTAGCTCTACCGCATTTGCTGACGTCCTTGGATACGCTCTCTGATGCAGCGCTGCAGCAGCTAACGGGGCAGCCTCCTCCTTTAGAGAAGTATTCATGCCCTATATGTCTTGATGTTATTGAGAAGCCTGTAACTCTTAGAGCTTGCTGCCACAGGTTCTGCTTCTCTTGCTTTGCTGCTGCTGCTGCAGCAGCAAATAACGACAGCAACTCCACCGGCATGGGCCTCACCCGATGCCCTTCATGCAGAACAAATATCGTCCCTTTAGAAGAACCCTTGCTGCAGCTTGAGCAGCAGCAGCAGCAGCAGCAGCAGCAGCAGCAGCACATACACACGAGCACTGGGAACTCCCACGATCCGCAGACCACCACCAGCAGCAGCACCAGCAGCGGCAGTAGCAGTAGTAGCAGCAGCAGCAGCAGCAGCAGCAGTAGCAGCAGAGTTGCTTACATCGACGCAGATGGTAGCTTTGTAGGAGACGCGGAGTCCGGCAGTCTCCACACTGCTGAGGCCCTGACCAGCAGTAGCAGCAGCAGCAGCAGCAGCAGCAGTAGCAGCAGCAGCAGCAGCAGCAGGCTTGGGGGAGGGAGTGGAGGCGGGAACAGAAGGCGCGGCGGTTCAGCAGCGCCGACGGAGGAGAATACATTGGCAGCAGCAGCAGGAGCATCACCTGCTGCTGCTGCTGCTGCAGCAGCAGCAGCAGCAGCACCCCGGGCAGTTAGGTCTTCAGAAGTTACAATCGATGATGCGCTTGCTGCCTTCGTTCGGCGTTGCTTCGGACCCAAGACAGAACCTCCATATGTATGTGGCTGCTGCTGCTGCTGCTACTGTTGTTACTGCTGATGTTGCTGCTGCTGCTGCTGTTGCTTTTGCTGTTTCCACGGCTGGGACTTTAAAGCGAAGCTGACGGGTCGATGCTGCTGCTGCTGCTTCTGCACCTTAGTGGCCACGAAATGCTGCTGCTGTTGGTGCAGTTCCTATCCTTGCTGCTGCTGCTGCTGCTGCTGCTGCTGCTGCTTCCATTTGTGATTGCAGAGGAATGACTCCTCTCTTGAGCTGCTGGGTGAAGGGGGAGAGGAGACGAATACAGCAGCACCAGAGACAGCAGCAGCAACAGCCGCAGCAGCAGCAGCCGCTGCTGCTGCGGCTGCTGCTGCAGATGATGGTGGAGCTGATGCAGACGAGGCTTGCGACAGGCCAGATGCTTCTCCTTGCCTTCTTAGCTTCCCCATCCCTGCAGCAGCAGCAGCAGCTGCTGCTGCTACTGCTGCTGCTCCTGCGCCGCCATCCGTGCCCCCGTGCATCGATCAGCAGCAGCAGCAGCAGCAGCAGCAGTATTGTGCATGCGCATGCACAAGACATTCTGTTTCTCATGTGGGTGCAGTGCAGCACCAACGGCAGCAGCAGCAGCAGCAGCAACAGCAGCAAATATGCTGTTCGGATTGTGTGCATATGACGCCTTGCAGGGGCTCCTGCGGAGGAGCTGCAGCAACAAGGGGAGGCAGCAAGAGCGACTTGGCAGCCTTGCTGCTGCGGGCTGCTGCGCTTCATGCTGCTGCTGCGGCTGCAGCAAATGCAGCAGCAGCTGCAGCAACAGCAGCAGCAGCAGCGGGAGAGGGGGACGTGGTGTTGCTGCAGCAGATAGCACATGCGGTAGCCGCACCGCAGCTGCAGCAACCGCTCTTTGCTGCTGCTACTGGGTCGCAGTGCTGCCGGCAGCAGCCCGGCGTGCAGCAGCTGCAGCAGCAACAACAGCTACTGCTGCACCAGCTGCAGCAGCAACAGCAGCTGCTGTTCCAACAGGTGCAGCAGCAGCAGCAGCAGCAGCAGCAGCAGCAGCAGCTGCAGCAGCAGCAGCAACAGCAGCAACATCAGCAGCAGCAGCAGGTTACTCCAAACACAACGGATGACCTCGCTTTTGCTCTTTCACTGCTGCTGCAGGAGGGGCAGGAGCAGCAGCAAGCACTGCTTTCGGTCCCTCCCGGCCACGAAGCAGATCCAAAGGCGCTGCAGCAGCAGCAGCTGCTGCTGCAGCACCTGCAGCAGCTGCAGCAGCAGCAACAGCAGCAACAGCAACAACAGCAGCAACAGCAACAACAGCAGCCCACTGATGAACCGGATCCGAAGGAGCTGCTGCACCAACAGACAGCTCTTCTTTCTTTCCTGCAGCAGCAAGACCTGCAGCACCCTCAACACTTGCTGCAGCAGCAGCAACAGCAGCAACACTGCGGCATCGTATCTTGCACGCGGTGTGTATGTATTGGCGATCGCTCTACGAGCATTTCAGGGCCGCTGTGCAGCAGCAGCCAAAGCAGCAAAAGCTGCAGCAACAGCAGCAAAAGCTGCAGCAAAAGCTGCAGCAGCAGGAACAGCAGCAGCAGCAGCAACGCGGGGGGTGAAGACTTTGATTTGCAGCTGCAAGCAATTCTAGCAGAGCTGAAAGGTGTTGGCTGGAACCATGAAGCAACGGACACTGCTGCGTCGCAGCAGCAGCCTCAGCAGCAGCAGCAACAGCAGCAGCAGCACCTGCAGCAGCAGCAGCAGCACCTGCAGCTGCAGCAGGAGCAGCAGCTTCAGCTGCAGCAGGAGCAGCACCTGCAGCTGCAGCAGGAGCAGCACCTGCAGCAGGAGCAGCGCCTGCAGCTGCAGCAGGAACAGCACCTGCAGCTGCAGCAGGAGCAACAGCTGCAGCTGCAGCAGGAGCAACAGCTGCAGCTGCAGCAAATGGAAACGCTGCGTAGCGGCGGCGGCGGCAGCAGCAGCAGCAGCGAAAGAGCAGCAACTCACCACCTGTCTACTTCAGAAGTTCTGCCTACATTGGGTCCCCTGTCTAGTGCATCGCCCTGCTCTGCTGCTCCTAGTCTGCACAGCAGCAGCAGCAGCCTCAGCAGCAGCAGCAGCAGCAGCAGCCAGAGAGCGCAGATACAACGTGGCAACAGCTGCGGCGACTTGGGGAAGGGCGCTGCCGCACCAGCAACATGGTTAGCCCCTGAGGGCAGCAGCAACACCAGCAGCAGCACCAGTAGCAGCAGCAGCAGCAGCTGTTGCTGCAACGCCACCCCCCCAGTGCAGAAGCTTTCTCGCCGTCAGCGACGACTCCTAAGACAGCAGCAAGCAGAGGAGCAGTCGCCGATGCAGCAGCAGCTGCTGCAGAAGCAGCAACAGCCGCTTAAGCAGCCGCAGCAGCAGCAAAAGCAGCAGCAGCAGCAACAGCAGCATAGGCAGCAGCAGCAGCAGAAACAGCATAGCCAGCACTTGCGGCAGCAGCAGCGCGTACCACGAAGCGGCGGGGCTTCCTTTGATGGAAGCAGCTACTGGAGTGCTGACTGGAGTCAGCAGCAGCAGCAACAGCAGCAACAGCAGCAGCAACAGCTGCTGCTGCAGCAACACCCTGTAGGCATTAGCTATATTCAGGGTGTACATACACCGCAGCCACTGCCGGGGGCCCCATGGTTGCTGCAGGGGCCCTCAGTGCAGCCCCCCATCTTTGTGGGGCGTCGCTCCAGCTCGTTGAATGCAGGGGCGCAGCAGCTTCCGCCTGCTGCTGCTGCTGCTGCTGCTGCACCATCAGCAGCAGCAGCAGCTGCTCCTGCAGCAGCTCCTGCAGCAGCAGCTCCTGCTGGAGCCCCCACCGCACTCTGATGATTTTGTTCTACTTGTACAGCTGCTGCTGCAGGTGCTGCGGCAGCAGTTGCTGCTGCAGGTACTTCTGCAGCAGCAGCTGCTGCTGCAGTTGCTTCTGCAGCAGCTTCTGCTGAACCCGTCTTTAAGTAAACGCGGGATTGCATGCAGCAACAGATGTAGCAGCACCAGAACGTCAGCAACAGCAGCAGCAACAAGTACAGGAGCAGCAGCATACACACTAGGAGCAGCAACCGCAGCAGCCAGCGGTAGTAGGGGTATCAGCACTATTAATTCTGCTGCTGATCTTTATAAACTTAAAGGAGACAGTTGCTAGTTTTGCTGAGCCGTACAGCTCTCGGGTGTATGTACACCCCGCTGTGCTTAGGAGTAATGCAGCAGCAGCAGCGATAGCAGCACCAGCTACCACTGCTGTTGCTGCTGCTGGTTGGGCTCTGCAGTTTTAAATGAAACTCTTGCAGCTCCAGCAGCAGCAGCTATTGCTGCTGTTGCTGCTGCACATCGGCCAATGCCTTAGAAGAAGATGCTGCCGTTCTCCCGCTGCTGTTGCTGCTGCTGCTGCTGCTGCTGCTGTTGCTGCTGCTGCATGCATATCCGCCTATGCCCCCGCTGGAGGCACGGCTGTGAGTGTGGAGACGACCTTCGGTCTCTTTGAAAGCGGCTGCTGGGGTGTTGCTGCTGCTGTTGCTGCTGCTGTTGCTGCTGCTGTTGCTGCAGGTGGTGTTGCAGCAGCAGCATCGGTGCTGATGATTCGTTTACCCACAGCAGCAGCAAACTGCGTGTCTATGGATTTTAGCTGCTGCTGCTGCTGCAGCGCAAATGCTTCAAGCTGCTGGACGAGGTCTTCTGACGGCAGCTGCAGGAGCTGCTGAGCAGAGGGGGCGTGTGCCTTTGCTGCAGCAGCAGCAAGAGCTGCTTCTGCTGCTGCTGAGGGTGCTGTGGCATCTGCTGCTGCTCCGTCTGCTGCTGCTCCTGCTGCTTCTGCTGCTGCTGCTCCATATATCTCAACAAACGACAGCTGGTCGCGTGAGACGACTGCAGATTTTGCTGCTGCCAGGCGCAGCAGCGGCAGCAGCGGGGCAAATGCAGAGGCTTGCTGCTGCTGCTGCTGCTGCTGCTGCTGCTCTTGCTGCTGCTGCTGCTGCTGCCTCGTGCGGCGGTGCAGTAGCGGCGTGACAGGGTCCTCTTGCTGCTCTGCGCCTGCGACAGCAGCTTCCACGGTGGGAGCTGCAGCAGCAGCAGCAACAGCAACTCGCGAGTCTGCTGCTGCAATCACTTGCTGCAGCTGCTTCACCGTAGCTTCCACTGAGCCGCAGCCCCAAGGCCAAAGGGGGCCCCTTAGAGGAGCGAAGGCTGAGCAGCAAGCAGCAAGAGCTTCTACCACCTTCTGCTGCTCCCTGCGGTGTACAGACACCCCACACGCAGCAGCAGCGGCAGCAACAGTAGCAGCAGCAGCACCAACAATGCTCAGCACAAACGCGCGACAAAGCAAACAAAACCACAATACTAACGGCATTACCAGCGACAGAAAGCAGCAGCAGCAGCAGCAGCAGCAGCAGCAGCCCAAGTAATGAAGCACTCGCAGCATACAAAAGCAACGCTGCAAGCACAGCAGCAAACACAGCAGCAGCAAGACGCAGCAGCAGCAGCGCGCACAAGACCAGGAACAGCAGCAGCAGAAGAAACAGCAGCTGCAGCAGAAACAACAACCGCAGCAGCAGCAGAAACAGCAGCAGAATTACGTGTCCTGGATAGAAGAGCGGATGCCTTGAACAGCAGCTTTTGGGGCAGCTACCCTAGTGGTTGTAGTCTGCTGCTGCTGCCGCTGCTGCTGCTGCTGCTGCTGTGGCTGCTGCTGAGGCTGCCTCGCCCCTCCAGATACTGGGGCAACGCGTTGCTGCTTCTGCTGCGGCTGCTGCTGCTGTGCTTTCGCCAAGGGTGCGCTTGGCTGCTGCTGAAGAGCAGCCCGCTGCTTCTGCTGCTGTTGCAGCGTAGCACCAGCAGGAGGGCGTGGCTGCTGCTGCTGCTGTTGCTGGGGCGGCTGTTGAGGCTGCTGCTGCTGCTGTTGCTGGGGAAGCCTGGGTGCAGCCTTTGCCGCTTGCTGTTGCTGCTTCGCCAGCGGTGGGACGGTTGTTGGTGGTCTTTGCTGCTGCTGCTGCTGCTGCTGCTGAACCTTGAGCTGCTGCGGTTGGACTGGCCGCACAAGCTGCTGCTGCTGCTGCTGCTGCGCTGTTGCTGCTGCTGCTGTGCCCGCCACAGGTACAGCAGCAGGAGCGACAGACGAAGCTGCTGCTGTATTCCTAGGCGCCGCTTTCTTCGGCTGCATTTGCTGCTGCTGCAATTGTTGTTGCTGCTGCTGTTGCTGCTGCAGGTGCTGTTGCGGTAACTGATGCTGCAACTGCTGTGGCTGCTGCTGCTGCTGGTGCATATGAGGCCTTGCTACCGCTGCTGGAGGACCCGGCGGAGCTGCAGCAGGGGCAGAATGAGACACCGGAACAGCAGCAATTCCTGCTGCTGCTGCTGCTGCTTTCGGTGCGTGGGGTCTTCGAGCTACAGCTGCTGCTGCTCCTGCTGCTGCTCCCGGTGCTACTGCAGCAGCAGCGCGGGTTGCTGCTGCTGCTGGTACTGCTGCTGCAGCTAATGCAGGCGCTGCACGAGCAGGTATTGATGGAGCTGCTGCTAATGCTGGTGCTGCTGCAGCCGCAGCAGTTGCTGCAGGTGTTGCACGCGCAGCTGCTGCTGCGATTGGTGCAGCAGGTACTGCAGCAGATGCTGCTGCAGCAGGTGCTGCACGTGGTGCTACTGCTGCTGGAGCTGCAGCAGCAGCAGCTGCTGCTGCTGCTTTTGGGGCAGCTCGCACAGCCGCCGCCTTTGCCTTGGGCATTTGCTGGCTTGAAGCAGCAGCAACTGGCGCCTGCACCTGGAGCTGTCGCTGCTGCTGCTGCTGCTGCTGCTGCATGCGGTGGGCCCCTGGTGGAGGCTGAACAACGAATCCTGCAGGAGGCGTTGCCAGAGCAGCTTTCTGTTGATGTGCCTGCTGCTGTTGCTGCCGCTGCTGCTGCTGTTGCTGCTGCTGCTGCTGCACCAGCGGGGGAGGCGGAGGCTGCGGCACCTGCTGCTGCCGCCACTGCTGCTGCACAGGTGAGTGCTGCCTCTGTTGCTCTTGTGGTATTTGCTGCTGCAAGGGGACCCGCTGCTGCTGCTGCTGCTGAGGCATCTGTTGATGCAGCTGTTGCTGCAGCTGTTGCTGCGCCTGCGGCTGCAGCGGCTGTTTCGGCTGCCCGGTCCTTGTAACTGCTGCAGCAGGTGTTGCTGCTGTTGCTGCTGCTGCTGGAGGCATGTTCAGTTGCTGCTGCCCTGCTGCTTTCCCTGTGAAGGGCTTCGGTTGCTGCTGCTGCTGCTTGGGCTGTGGCTTTAGCTGCTGCACGGGGGGCTGCAGCGGCTGCAGCTGTTGTTGCTGCTGCTGCTGCAGCTGTTGCTGCGGCTGCTGCCGCCTTGGAGGGAAACTTGGCGCAGCTGCTGCTGCTGGAGGTGCTGCAGCGGTTGTAGGGTCTGAGAGCCGTTGGGGTGTAGTCGCTGGTTCTCTGTGCTGCTGCTGCTGCTGCTGCTGCTGCTGCTGCTGCTGCTCCTTTTCCCTCTTTCTGCGCATCAACTCCTCAAACGACATCGGAGCGTCGAAGTCTCTGCTGCCAGCAGCAGCATATGACTGCGACACCGGTGCTGCTGCTGCTGCAGCAGCAAAGCTGGGGGAAGCAGCAGCGGCTGCGGAAGCAGCAAGGGGTACGGCTGCAGCGGCAGCGACAGCAGCACCTGAATCGAAGGGAGGAGAAGATGCCCGACCTACCGGTGTAGAGGCCATTCGAGGCACAACTGTTCGCTGCTGTTGCTGCTGCTGTTGCTGCTGCTGCTGCTGCTGTTGCTGTTGCTGCTGCAAGGGAGGCGGAGGTGGCTGCTGCAGGGCCTGCTGCAGCTGCTGCAGCAGCCGGCCCTGTGCAGTTGTTGGGATCTTTTTCGGTTGGGTCCCGCGCTGCTGCTGCTGCTGCTGCAGCTGCTGCTGAGGCGGTAGTTGGAGTTGCTGCTGCAGCTGCTGTTGCTGCGGCAGCTGCTGCTGCTGCGGCAGCTGTTGCTGCTGCAGCTGTCTCCGCTGAAGCGGAGGCGGCTTGAGGCGTCCGTCTCTTGCCAGTCCCCCAGCAGCAGCAGAAGCAGCAGCAGGAGGAGGCGAAGAAGTGGTTAGTGCAGCAGCAGCAGAAGCAGAGATGGGCGCCCCCTGGGATGCGAAGGCCCCCTCAATAGGAGTTGCTTCAGCAGCAGCAGAAGCAACAGCAACTGCAGCACCTGCCTTCTTCATCCGCGCCTTTAGAGCCTGCAGCTTCACACTCCAGTCCCCAGAAGCAGCACGCCCAGGGGCCGCCGTCTCCTCCATTGTTGTGCTGCTGCTGCTGCTGCTGCTACTGCTGCTGCTGCTGCTGCCGCTGTTGCTGCTGCTCCTACTCCTGCTGCTGCTTGATTTGCTGCTGCCACTGCTGTTTTAAAGGCTGCAGCCGGTGCTGCTAGAGAAGGGGTTGGGGAATATGATTTGCTGCAGCAGCTGCACTGCTGCTGCACCTGCTGCGGTTGAAAGGCTGCTGCTGCAGCAGCACGAGGCGAAGACACAGTTGGTACAGCTGCTGAAAAAGCACAGAGCGTCGCTCTGCTGCTGCTGCAGTTTTCTGCTGCTGCTCCTACACCAGCAGCAGCAGAGGCTGCAGCGGCAGCAGCATGAGCCACAGCCCCAACACGGGGCCCCCCTAGCAGCAGCAGCTGCAACAGCAGCAGCAGCAGCAGCAGCGTCGCTTCAATACTTCCTGATCTCAGTCTAGGTACATTCTTTTATATTCGTTTTTATATCTTTTCCCGTCGTACTCCAATAATCTTTCCTGCTGCTGCGTGCGCAGCAGCAGCTGCTGCTCGTGTTGCTGCAGCAGCAGCAGCCGACACATTGTTTGCTGCTCAGCTATCACTGGAAGGACTCCAACGAAAATCGGAGTGTACGTACACCGCAGCAGCAGCACTCGCCCTCTCTGAAGCTCTGGTGTAGGTGAGTAGCGCCAGCAACAGCAGCAGCAGCAGCAGCAATAACAGCAGCAGCAGCAGCAGCAGCAGGAAAATAACAACAGCAGAAGAAGGAAGGGGGAGCGCATCCTTCATCCGACCTCGTGGTCGGTTTGTCCCCTCTTTAGGGGCAGCAGCAACAGCAGCAGCTGCACCTGCAGCAGCCCCAGCCACAGCAGCAGCCCCAGCAGCAGCAGCAGCAACAGCAACAGCAGCAGCAGCAGCAGCAGCAGCAGGTTTGTTTGTTAATTGGTTTCTATGGAGGCCTATCACCGCGTGTCAGGGGGCAGCTTGCGGCTGAAGGGCAAGAAGGGGGGCGACCTAAAAGAAATTAAAAAGAAAGAGAGACGGAAGCGTAAGCGCGAGCAGCTGCTGCTGGATCCTTCTGAAGCCTCAGCAGCAGCAGCAGCAGCTGCAGCAGCAGCAGCAGCAGCTGGCAAAGAAGACGCAGCAGCAGCAGCAGCCGCTGCAGCAGCCGCAGCAGCAGCAGCAGCAGCAGCAGCAGGCAGCAGCAGCTTGCAACAAGCAGATATAATTGAAGGTACTGGGCGTATTGTTGCTACTGGTGAAGTCGTTCAGGGTTTTAATACAAAGTTTAGACATGAAGTAGAAGAAGGAGACACGCTATTGCTGCTGCACCCCGCAACTTTGCTGCAAGAGGAGGCGCTGGTTGTTGCTGTACAGACAGACCGCACGCTGCATATACACTCGGGCTTCACAAAAGACTTCATCTCTACGACAGAGTTTAAAGTTAAGAAAACTGCAGCAGCAAATAGAGCAAAAGCTGCTGCTGTTGCTGCTGCACGTGCTGCACGCGCTGCAACAGCTGCAGGAAGCACCAACAGCAGCAGCAGCAGTCATGAGACACCCGAGGGCGGCGACCCTGAGTCAGCAGCAGCAGCAGCAGCAGCAGCAGCAGCAGCAGAACTGAAGAAGAAGATGAAGAAGGCAGGAAGGGTTGTCTCTGTTCGAGAAAAGAAGGGGATGTGGGGATACACCGTAAAACAAATAAAATCAAAAGACGAGCTCTCAGCAGAACAGAAGCTTGACTTGAGGTGTAAGCAAGGAAGAGACAAATTCTGCTGGTAAACACTCCTCCCGTTGCTGCTGTTACTGCTGCTGCTGCTGCTGCTGCTGCTGCTGCTGCAGCTGCTGGTGGTGGTACTCATCGTGCGGTGGTAGCTCGCAGTGGGGTGAAAAACAGCGGATGTTGCTGTTGCTGTTGCTGCTGCAGCAGCAACAGCGTCTGCTGCTGCTGCAGCTGCTGCAGCTGCAGCAATAGCCGAATAGAATATGCAGCCGTTGCAGCAGCAGCAAACGCAGCAGCAACAAAGTTTGCAGGAGGCCCGCTGCTGCTTCGTTTGCTTTCTCTTTGTTGCTGCCGGTGCTGCACAGCAGCGGCCCACAGGCCTGTAGAGCAGGGTTTGTCTCTTGCTGCAGCAGCAGCTGCTGCTGCACCTGCTGCTGCTGCTGCAGCACCTGCTGCTGTCTATTGGCTGTATATTTTGTGGGGGCCCCAATAGTGAAATATACACAGAGAAAACTCCCTTAGAAACAATTTAATAAAGATATAGCAGGTTGATGCAGCAGAGCTGCTGTTGCTGCTGCTGTTGCTGCTGCTGCTGTAGGTGTAGCGGCTGCTGTTGCCGTTGCTGCTGCTGTTGCTGCTGCTGCGACGAAGCCGCTGCTCGGCGTTTTAGAGGCAGAGACAAACAGCTGAGAGACACAAGAGGAGAGAGCAGCAAATAAAACTATATAATTATATATATATATATATAAAATACACATTATATATATACTATGTATACTATGTAGTGTTATTATTATTAATAATAACACGCAAACAAACAAACAAACGAACAAAAAGAATAAACAAATAAACAGATAAACAAACAAATAAACAAATACACAAACAGGACCCAGAAAAGAGACAGCCAAAAGCGATAAAAGGCTGAAGGCGATGAGTTTGAAGCAAAAGTTTAAAAGAAAAACGATAAGGCCAACACTGAAGACAAATAAAGAAAGAAAGAATTCTTTATATATATATATACATCTATATATATATATATATATGTATATGCACATATATATATGTATGTAGCTCTCTCTCTCTCCCTCTATATATATATATATATATATATATATACATATACATATATA